ACTATACAGTTGAAGTCGGAAGTTTACATACACCTTAGCCAAATACATTTAAACTCAGTTTTTCACTATTCCTGACATTTAATCCTAGTAAACCTTCCCTGTCTTAGGTCAGTTAGGATCACCACTTTATTTTAAGAATGTGAAATGTCAGAATAATAGTAGAGAGAATGGTTTATTTCAGCTTTTATTTCTTTCATCACATTCCCAGTGGGTCAGAAGTTTACATACACTCAATTAGTATTTGGTAGCATTGCCTTTAAATTGTTTAACGTTTCGGGTAGTCTTCCACAAGCTTCCCACAATAAGTTGGGTGAATTTTGGCCCATTCCTCCTGACAGAGCTGGTGTAACTGAATCAGGTTTGTAGGCCTCCTTGCTCGCACACACTTTTTCAGTTCTGCCCACACATTTTCTATAGGATTCCGGTCAGGGCTTTGTGATGGCCACTCCAATACCTTGACTTTGTTGTCCTTAAGCCATTTTTCCACAAACAGTTCTATTTTTGTTTAATCAGACCAGAGGACATTTCTCAAAAAAGTACAATCTTTGTCCCCATGTGCAGTTGCAAACCGTAGTCTGGATTTTTTATGGCGGTTTTGGAGCAGTGGCTTCTTCCTTGCTGAGCGGTATGACGGCTGCGTGGTCCCATGGTGTTTATACTTGCGTACTATTGTACATCCACAGGTACACCTCCAATTGACTCAAATTATGTCAATTACCCTATCAGAAGCTTCTAAAGCCATGACATCATTTTCTGGAATTTTCCAAGTTGTTTAAAGGCACAGTCAACTTAGTGTATGTAAACTTTTGACCCACTGGAATTGTGATACAGTGAATTATAAGTGAAATAATCTGTCTGTAAACAATTGTTGGACAAATTACTTGTGTCTTGCACAAAGTAGATGTCCTAACCGACTTTCCAAAACTATAGTTTGTTAACAAGAAATGTGTGGTTGAAAAATGAGTTTTAATGACTCCAACCTATGTGTATGTAAACTTCCGACTTCAACTGTACATACCTCGGCCTAAACATCAGCGCCACAGGTAACTTCCACAAAGCTGTGAACGATCTGAGAGACAAGGCAAGAAGGGCTTTCTATGCCATCAAAGGAACATAACATTTGACATTCCAGTTAGGATCTGGCTAAAAATACTTGAATCAGTTATAGAACCCATTGCCCTTTATGGTTGTGAGGTCTGGGGTCTGCTCACCAACCAAGAATTCACAAAATGGGACAAACACCAAATTGAGACTCTGCATGCAGAATTCTGCAAAAATATCCTCTGTGTACAACGAAAAACACAAAATAATGCATGCAGAGCACAATTAGGCCGATACCCGCTAATTATCATAATCCAGAAAAGAGACGTTAAATTCTATAACCACTTAAAAGGAAGCGATTCCCAAACCTTCCATAACAAAGCTATCACCTACAGAGAGATTAACTTAAGAGTCCCCTAAGCAAGCTGGTCCTGGGGCTCTGTTCACAAACACAAACAGACCCCACAGAGCCCCAGGACAACAACACAATTAGACCCAACTAAATCATGAGAAAACAAAAAGAGAATTACTTGACACATTGGAAATATTTTATTTTTAAAACAGAGCAAACTAGAATGCTATTTGGCCCTAAACAGAGAGCACACAGTGGCAGAATACCTGACCACTGTGACTGACCCAAACTTAAGGAAAGCTTTGACTATGTGCTGACTCAGTGAGCATAGCCTTGCTATTGAGAAAGGCCGCCGTAGGAAGACCGTGCTCTCAAGAGAAGACAGGCTATGTACACACTGCCCACAAAATGAGGCGGAAACTGAACTGCACTTCCTAACCTCCTGCCAAATGTATGACCATATTAGAGAAAACAAACCCACTTTTGATGAACTCCCTTATCTACTGGGTGAAATACCACAGTGTGCCATCAAAGCAGCAAGATTTGTGCCACAAGAAAGGGCAAACACCATTGTACATACAACCCATATTTATGTTCATTTATTTTCCCATTTGTACTTTAACTATTTGCACATTGTTACAACACTGTATATATACATAATATGACATTGAAATGTCTTTATTCTTTTGGAACTTCTGAGTGTAATATTTACTGTTAATAGGTATTGTTTAATTCATCTACTTCACTTGCTTTGAATTGAATTGAATTCAGAGAGAGAGAGAGAGAGAGAGAGAGAGAGAGAGAGAGAGAGAGAGAGAGAGAGAGAGAGAGAGAGAGAGAGAGAGAGAGAGAGAGAGAGAGAGAAACAGAACTCTGTTTGGCTCATTTCACTGGACTCTGAATGGCAAATACAGCTGCAGCAGCCAGACACAAAACCCCAACATGCAAATGCCATAGAGGTCAACAGAAAAACATCCCAACACCACAGCAAGAGAATCCTTCAGCTTAGAAAGGTTTTCAATTGTCTTCATAAACTGTCAGTAGCACGGATGGGGCTAAAGAAAAAGTGTAAGCCTCAGAGGTTGTTACTGTAAGGCAGGGGTGTCAAACTCATTCCACGGACGGCCGACTGTCTGCGGGTTTTAGTTTTTTCCTTTAAATTAAGCCCTAGACAACCAGGTGAGGGGAGTTCCTTACTAATTGACCTTAATTAATCAATCAAGTATAAGTAACGAGTGAAAACCTACAGACACTCGTCCATCTGTGGAATGAGTTTTGCATGTGCTGTAAGGTCAAGCAAAAAAGGGTTGGGGAGGTCCTGAGGGAGGGATGGGATTGTTGGTTTTATTCTTTCCTTTGTCTTAAGTCTCTGTCTGTGTGCATACAATTCATAAATAATCACAAAATAATCACACACAAAAATACAACAAAGTGGTTTCAAGAGCTGAGTCTCCCTCCCTATTCTTCAGACTTACTAAAGGGGAGAATCTATTGAAGGTATGTTGTTAGCTAATACACTGTATCTGCGATTATGACCTGCATTTATACTCTAAGGATTCACAGATACAGAGGTTTGAAACGTTCACATAATGGTCATACAGCAGTCATCACACCTGAGTTTCTGTATGTGTGAATTTTGTTGTTGTTCTATGTAGTTGAACATGATGTAATTCCTACAGGCTCCTGTAGACAGGTTTGACAGACATCCCACTGGGCACAGATGTAAGTTCAACATCAAATTTGTATTTAGGCCTACGTTTGATTGGACATTTCCGAAACTTCTTTACGTTTATGACTTCTTTAAAATCAGATAACTTTTCCACTTTGATGCAACATCATCGGAAGGAAAAATATAGATTTGTTTTGTTAAAATGACGGTGAAACAACATTGATTGAGCCAGTTTGTGGGGATGGCTGCCTCTTTCAGACAGCCAGAAGACTGTTGACTGTACTGTGTCCTGATGTCCTCCGGAGCTGCGCTGTAACTGTATGCAAATGTATGATGCAGCATGGAAATCAATAGTAGAGCCACACCAGAGAGAGAGAGAGAGAGAGAGAGCGAGAGAGAAATCCCCTGAAACTGATTGGAAATACCCAAGTGCTATAAAATACATTCTCTGATTTGGGAAAATTTGAACATGTTGCCATATTTCCTAATTTAATTCCATTATTAATCAATTAAAATATTAAACTTGTATGACACTTGTTTGACACTTTTGTGTTAGAACAGGTCTACTACTGCTACATAGCCTAAATCAGGCAGAGATCATGTGGAGTCACACAAAGCACTGCATTTGCACATGTCAATAGATCGTCTTTTGTGTGTGAGATGTGTGGACCAAGTTGGTTTAAACTGATTGATGACGATGAAAGACATAAAAGACTCAAATAACCAGCACAGATACGCAGATACTACACTAGGTCTTATTTGCATAGTTAAATTTGAGCTGACCAGTCTGAACATGAAGGAAAGAGAGGGCATGTTTCACTGTTAAATATCTGTGTCTGCGGTGTGAGCCATGCCCTTAGCTAATTATTTTAGTTAAAGGGATAAGAAAGAGAAATACATAGGTGACACCAGTGTTTGTGTGTGTGTGTGTGTGTGTGTGTGTGTGCGTGTGTGATAACACCGTTTGAAAATACATGCCAAAGAATGATGGTGCCTATGTTGTCAACTTTGTGTCTGTAAAAGTGTCTGTGAAGGTGTTTTTTTGTTATAAGAGTTCACAATACATCTTATATCTTGTTCAGTTAATCATGATTGGTCATAGGAATGGATTATCACAAGATGAGTAGTCACAATGACATGCAATTTTCAGTACAATGTTAACCATAGGGCAAGGAAGGGTGACTGCAAAAACGGTTATGTTACCCATTGTTGCTATTTTGAGATCAATACGATACAAAACCTGAATTTACATTTATATCTCAATCAATACCTGAAATATATTAGGGGGGAAATGAATAAATTAGCTGTGGTGTAGTAGCATTTATACTCCTTGTCAGTAGATGCCGCTACATTGTGTCCATTGTTAGGACTGCAGAGGAGCCTTTTATTTACCCGGAAGTATTTGGGATTTTCAGTCCGAAAGAGAATTTTATCCTCATTCATTCAGAACATAAATAGCAAACATGTAAGTTGAGTATTCATTTATTTGATCAACAAAATGCGTTTGTTTTTCAATGTTTGCTGGAATTTGGTTGTAATGAGTTTACTCAAAGTTGATTCTGAATCATTCTGCTACAGGCTAGCTAGCTAACGTTAACGTGCTTGAATCTGAATTGCTCACGTTAGCTAAGCTATCTAGCTGCAATTTATAGAGGTGGCTAGCTAACCATTGTTGATAGTTAAACAAAATAATGAGCTTAGGTTTAGCCTTGTATGTTACACTCTTTCCCTTCCTTGACCCCACCCCTGTCATTATTATTATTTTTTGTTTAGTCTACTGTTTTTTTTTTCAATTGTAAAGCGACTTTGGGTCCTTGTAAAGCGCTATATAAATCCCATGTGTTATTATTAATATTATGCACTTTTGACAGTTACCTAACTAATACCTATAGCTAGGTTTTAGATGATGCGTTTTGACACGTTATTTGGTCTTTCTAGGAGTTTGCTGAATAAACCCAAGTCTGAGATGACTCCAGAAGAGTTGCAGAAACGAGAGGAGGAAGAATTCAACACAGGACCACTGTCTGTGCTCACCCAGTCCGTGAAAAGCAACACACAAGTTCTAGTCAACTGCCGCAATAACAAGAAGCTACTGGGACGAGTCAAAGCCTTCGACAGGTAATGAATAACTGAAATGACTGAGTTATTTTGGCTGAAAATAAACTACATTTCACCTTCAAATCATGACCTCATGTCTTGTTTGGATTATTCTATTGGTTTGATCCCAAACCCCATTTCAATTAGCATGTACACTGAACAAAAATGTAAACGCAACATATAAAGTGTTGGTCACCTGTTTCAAGAGCTGAAATAAAAAATCTCAGAACAGCATGATCATTACGCAGGTGCACCTTGTGCTGGGGACTATAAAAGGCCACTTTAAAATGTTCAGTTTTGTCACACAGCACAATGCCACAGATGCCTCAAGTTTTGAAGGAGCGTGCAATTGGCATGTTGACTGCAGGAATGTCCACCAGAGCTGTTGCCAGAGAATTGAATGTTCATTTCTCTACCATAAGCTGCCTCCAATGTCATTTTAGAGAATTTGGCAGTACCTCCAACCAGCCTCACAACTGCAGACCACATTTACATTTTAGTCATTTAGCAGACGCTCTTATCCAGAGCGACTTTACAGTTAGAGTGCATACATATAAAAAAAATTACTGGCCCCCCGTGGGAATCGAACCCACAACCCTGGCGTTGCAAGCGCCATGCTCTACGAACTGAGTAACCACGCCAGCCCAGGACCTCCACATCTGGCTTCTTCACTTGCGGGATCGTCTGAGGGGGGGTGCTGAGGAGTATTTCTGTCTAATAAAGCCATTTTGTGGGGAAAAACTCATTCTGATTGGCTGGGCCTGGCTCCCCAGTGGGTGGGCCTGGCTGCCAAGGGGTTGGGCCTATGCCCTCCAAGGCCCACCCATGGCTTCACCCCTGCCCAGTCATGTGAAAGCCATAGATTGGAGCGTAATTTATTTATTTCTATTGACTGATTTCCTTATATAAACAAACTAAATTGTTGCGTTTTTATATTTTTGTTCAGTTTAATTTCACATTGTCTTGTTCTCTCTATGTAGGCACTGCAACATGGTGTTGGAGAATGTGAAGGAGATGTGGACAGAGGTCCCGAAGAGTGGCAAGGGGAAAAAGAAGTCCAAGCCAGTGAACAAGGACCGGTACATCTCCAAGATGTTTCTGAGAGGGGACTCTGTCATCGTTGTGTTGAGGAACCCTCTTATCACTGGGACTGGGGGGAAGTAGACTGACATCTCACCCAAAGTCTGTACCACACTGGGTCGTATTCATTAGTACACACCGTTGAAAAACGTTTTGCAATAGGAAACATTTTTTTGTAAAAAAATAATTTGGACAAGTTCAGGTAGTCCCTCCCTGTTTTGGTCCGTTTTCTTTTGTTTGGTTTCTAGTGAATACTACCCTGCTTTAGCTGAGAGACTGCAAGAGCAGGGCCATGTTCATCAGGACACAATGTTGTGGAATGTTCATGCCCCTTTTTAGAATGAGCAATCACATCAATCTAAAACGTTCCACAGCATTTGTCAAGTACATGAAATGGTTTTAGTCACTCAGTCATTTGTTTGTTTGCTCTCCACACCAGGGCTGCGTTCAACAGGGCACAATGTTGTGGAACATTTAGATATAAATATATAATGTGGAACAAATATGCATCTCTGACATCTAGAATAAGGAATCACGTCAGCTCTATTCATTACATTTCTATATAAAACGTTCCACAATGTTTGACTACTAAACGTGACCTTGGGTCAAGTTCTGTAGGCATGACATGGAAGAAACTTTTAGTGGTGGTCTATTTCCCGAACACTTTGTTTTCCATTTGAAAACCTTTTGTCTTTTTGACTACTGAATGTGACTCAGAACTGGATTCATCATAGCAATTGGATCTCTTTCAGTAAGGCCCAAGTTTTCAAAAAGTTTTGAAATTACTTTGAATGGTCTGCAACGGAACATCAACTAAATCAGAATTTGTTTCTTCCAACCTGTTAGAGCTGAGCTATTAGTTTGGATGTCACTTTGCTTGACCATACGTGACCTTATGTTGAAAACCAAAACCATAAGGTGCCCTTTTGAACATGACCCCTCTGTTTGTGTTATGATTTAATATTGTTTGATATGACGCCCACACCCAAATGTACACACGTAATGGATACAAATTAATATTATTGGCCGATCTTGTAGTTTTTCAAACTGCTGAATTTTGTACTCAAAGCTCCAATCTGATATAGGCCTGTTTATTATTGAGGTGGTGATAAAATTCCTACAAGGAACATTTTGTTCATGTTTATTCTCTTTGTTTAATATTTTAATAAACACATGTTTTTGCTCTATATCTATGAAAGCCTTGCATTTAATGTAGCTGAGGAAAACCTGAAAAACTGTAGCCCTCTTGGGTGGAAGTCGCTTGATGGCCATGCTAGAAAGGACAAAATGGTTAAATACACAGTGTACAAAACGTTAGGAACACCTGCTCTTTCCATGACCGACTGACCAGGTGAATCCAGTTGGAAGCTATGATCCCTTATTGAGGTAACCTGTTAAATCCACATCAATCAGTGTAGATGAAGGGGAGGAGACAGGTTAAAGGATTTGTAAACATTGAGACATGGATTGTGTATGTGTGCTGTTCAGAGGGTGAATGGGCAAGACAAAATATTTAAGTGCCTTTGAACGGGGTATGGTAGTAGGTGCAATGGTTTGATTGGGTCAAGAACTGCAACTGCTGTGTTTTTCACGCTCAACAGTTTCCTGTGTGTATGAAGGACATCCTGCCAACTTGACACAAATGTGGGAAGCATTGGAGTCAACATGGCCAACATCCTTGTAGAACGCTTTCGACATCTTGTCATCCCTGCCCCAATGAATTGAGGCTGTTCTGAGGACAAAGGGGCTGCAACTCAATATTAGGAAGGTGTTCCTAATGTTGTGTATAGAGTCTAAACTGTTAAGAAAGTAGGGAATGTTTAAGGTTATTGGCTAACATCACATTTGTGGTAAAAGTGGCACTTGGGTCCTTCCTTGCATAGCCAGACAGTGATGAGCCTCTCAGCCTTGAGCTACAGTACAGCATGCATACTGTATACTATAGAATGTGATATTTCAATGCCCTCTAGTGGTGGGCTACTCTGCATGATTTCACTGAGGATTTGGGATTTCCTACTAATGTTAAGTTTGGTATACAGTACAGCAAAATGGACCAACAACACCACCACTCTTGTCAAGAGGGCGCAACAGCGTATACTTCCTAATGCGGCTGAATAAATTCTCCATGCCTCCCCGGTTTCTCTCCAAATACAGTACTATCGCTGCATGGTCGAGAGCGTCCTGACCGGTTGCATCACGGCCTGGTACGGGTTTTAATCCATCCAAGACAGCGAGGCACTCCAGCGGGAGGTGAAGATGGCCCAGTACATCACTGGGACCGTGCTCCCACCCATCCAGGACATCTACTGGAAACGGTGCCTGAGGAAGGCCCACAGCATCATCAAGGACCCCACACACCCCAGCCACGAGCTGTGCTCTCCTTTACTGTCACACACACACATACAGTACCAGTCAAAAGCAGTAAAGACATCAACTATGAAATAACACATATGGAATCATGTAGTAACCAAAAAAGTGTTAAACAAATCAAAATATATTTTATATTTGAGATTCTTCAAATAGCCACCCTTTGCCTTGATGACAGCTTTGCACACTCTTGGCATTCTCTCAACCAGCTTCACCTGGAATGCTTTTCCAACAGTCTTGAAGGAGTTCACACATATGCTGAGCACTTGTTGGCAGCTTTTCCTTCACTCTGCCGTTCGACTCATCCCAAACCATCTCAATTGGTTTGAGGTTGGGGGATTGTGGAGGCCAGGTCATCTGATGCAGCACTCCATCACTCCCCTTCTTGGTAAAATAGCCCTTACACAGCCTGGAGGTGTGTTGGGTCATTGTCCTGTTGAAAAACAAATGATAGTCCCACTAAGCCCAAACCAGATGGGATGGCGTATCGCTGCAGAATGCTGTGGTAGCCACGCTGGTTAAGTGTGCCTTGAATTCTAAATAGATCACAGACAGTGTCACCAGTAAAGCACCCCCACACCATAACACCACCTCCTCCATGCTTTACGGTGGGAACTACTCATGTGGAGATCATCCGTTCACTCACACCGCGTCTCACAAAGACACGGCGGTTGGATCCAAAAATCTCAAATTATTGACTCCAGACCAAAGGACAAATTTCCACCGGTCTAATGTCCATTGCTCGTGTTTCTAGGCCCAAGCAGGTCTCTTCTTATTATTGGTGTCCTTTAGTAGTGGTTTCTTTGCAGCAATTCAACCATGAAGGCCTGATTCACACAGTCCCCTCTGAACAGTTGATGTTGCGATGTGTCTGTGACTTGAACTCTGTGAAGCATTTATTTGGGCTGCAAATTCTGAGGCTGGTAACTCTAATGAACTTATCCTCTGCAGCAGAGGTAACTCTGGGTCTTCCATTCCTGTGGTTGTCCTCATGAGTGCCAGTTTCAGCATAGCGCTTGATGGTTTTTGCAACTGCACTTGAAGAAACTTTAAAAGTTCTTGAAATGTTCCGTATTGACTAACCTTCATGTCTTAAAGTAATGATGGACTGTCGTTTTTCTTTGCTTATTTGAGCTGTTCTTGCCATAATATGGACTTGGTCTTTTACCAAATAGGGCAATCTTCTGTATACCACCCTACATTGTCACAACACAACTGATTGGCTCAAACGCATTAAGAAGGAAAGAAATTACACAAATTAACTTTTAAGAAGGCACACGTTAATTGAAATGCATTCCAGGTGACTACCTCATGAAGCTGGTTGAGAGAATGCCAAGAATGTTCAAAGCTGTCATCAAGGCAAAGTGTAGCTATTTGAAGAATCTCAAATATAAAATATATTTTGATTTGTTTAACACTTTTTTTGGTTACTACATGATTCCATGTAAAAAATAGTAACAAAATTAAGAAAAACCCTGGAATGAGTAGGTGTCCAAACATTTGACTGGTAGTGTATATATAAATTAATGCTACACACATCACACTGCTGCTACAAGACTTATTATACTGCTCAATTTACACACTAGCCCCAATCCCCCCCTTCCCCAATACGCGTGTAAATATTGGACTATAAATTGTGCCTTCCTGTATTATACTTATGCTAAAATGTATTTTTCTATTCTACTGCCATTTACTTTGTTCGTATTCTCATCTTTTATTATTTCTTATTGTTGCATTGTCGAGAAGGAACCTGCAAGTAAGCATTTCGTTGGACGATGTATACCATGCCTATCCCGTACATACGACTAATACAATTTGAACTTGATTTGTCAATTTTTACCACAGACGTCACCTTTTAGAATGTCAATATATAGCCTAATCATTGGACAAATGTAATTTCAGTAAGTAATTCCCGTTTTTGAAGTACCCATGCATAAATTACTCAGTAAACAGGAAGTAAAAAAATGATGTGAAGGTGTCCGGGAAAGGATATGAAAGCCTCAAATTTCGAAACTCTGAAAACACTGTTGGTGCAATAGATTTCACATTGCTGCAGAGCCATAGACATTTGTCGGCACGATAATGTTCTTGTTTGTGGCTACACTGTCTCCCATCTCTTTTCCCCATATGTGACTTCATTCCAGGCTTGGAAATAGTACTTTGATCTCATTCTCATATAGGGCCAGTAAGTGCGCAATAGTGACAACGAAAATGCAAACTTCCCAATGGGAAATTGATTTCCACAGTATATTTTGCAAACATAAGCATCCTTCTGTTTTTGATATTTTCATGTTGAGTAGTAATAGGCCTATCACTAACCCTTATCCTAGAGTGTGCATGCACGTATTGTTCCACCTCTAACCTGATTCAACAACACCCTGACTATTTGAATCAGGCGTGTTTTAGTGCTGTGCTGTAACAAAACCCTGCACACCCTGAGGCTCTCCAAAATCAGCAATAGTAAACAAATGCACCACCGCTTCCCCTTTAAATTCTGCAAGGTAACCTGTCTAAATGACTATCGCCCCGTAGCATGCACATTTGTAGCCATTAAATGCTTTGAAAGGCTGGTCATGGCTCACATCAACACCATTATCCCAGACACCCTGGACCCACTCCAATTCGCATACCGCACCAACAGATCCACAATCTATATTGCACTCCACACTGCC